GACGGCACAGAACAACAACAACAACAATGTTTATTGCAGCCTTATCAATAATAGTGAAGTGATGGACACAAATTAAGCCTTATTAATGGACAACTGAATAGAGCAACTAAGGGACATTAACAAAGTGGAGTATTATGCAATGTTGAAAAACAATGTAGAATTCATGAAACATTGCATAATACAGGTGAATAAAGAAGACATAATGCATAATGAAATAAATCAGTCTCAAAATTGCAAATATTCTGTAACACTAATATTATAAAATAACAAAATAAAGGTGTACCCCAAATATAAAATTCCATCATAGTTAACCAAGAGGCAACGGAAAGTAGAAAAGTAATAAATTAATAATAACCAATTAGTAAGATTAGAAAGAGAAAGACAATATGGATAATCAGATGCTGAACATTGTAATTAATGTTATGGAATAAAATTTAAAGAAATGACTGAGAAATCAATATGCTTTGTAAACATTTACTCGTAAAACAATATAAAAAGATTTATCTCTTGGTTCAAGAAGATAGATCTGAATTACTTTATTCTCCGTTGGACCAAAATATAACTTGACTAAATCAATGAATTACTCATTTGCATTTTGTTTCATAACATTAATTACAGTGCTCAGTGTCTGATTATTCATGTTGTCCTCCATATGCACAGGAGCCAATGGTAATTAAGGAAGAAATAGAAGCTGCATTTAAGGCACTGGCAAAAAATAAGGCTCCAGGAATTGATGGGATACCAATTGTCTTGCTTCTATTAACAGATACAGCCCTGGATGTGCTCCCCAATCTACACCAGGAAATTTGGAAGACAGCAGTCTGTCCAACGGATTTGAAGAGGTCCATATTTGTTCCCATTCCCAAGAAAGGTGATCCAACTAAATGTGGAAACTATCAAACAATCTTATTAATATCACAAGTGAGAAAAATACTGCTGAAGATTATTAAAAAATGGCTAGAACAATACATAAATAGGGAACTTCTCGAAGTTCAAACAGGATTTAGAATAGGCTTTGGCACCAGGGATATCACTGCTAATGACAGGTGTACCCTGGCTGAAAGTGGAGAATATCAAAGGAATGTCTATTTGTGCTTCATTGACTATGCAAAGACATTTGACTGTGTGGATCATAACAAGTTGTGATTGACATTGAAAGGAGAGGGAATGCCAGAGTGCTTAATTATGCTCATGTGGAACATATACCTGGACCAGGAGGCTGTTGTGAAAACAGATCAAAGGAACACTGAATGCTTTAATATTGAGAAGGGAGTGCATCAAGGTTATATTTTTTCTCCATACCTTTTCAATCTGTAGGCTGAGCTAATTATCAAAAAAGTTAAATTCTATGAAGAGAAGTGTAGCATTAGGATTGGAAAGAGACTTATCAATAATGTGTGTTATACAAATGATACAAACTTGCTTGCTGAAAGTGAGGAGGACTTGAAGCCTCTGTTGCAGAAGGTCAAAGAATGCAGGTATAGATTATATTTCAATGCCAAGAAAGCAAAGATTCTTACCAATGGACCAAAAGGTAGTGTCATGATGGATGGAGAGGAGATTAAAACTGTTGACAGCTTCACTTTGCTTGGATCTACAATTAACATCCTGGGTACAAGCAGTCATTAAATAAGAAGATGTGTTGTGCTTAGAAAGTCTGCAGTCAGGGACTTCTCCACTTCTCCAAATTATTGAGTAATGATGTCAGTTTTAGAAATAAGATGTCTCTGATTCAGGCCAAATTCTTTCCAACCACTTGCTATGCATCTGAGAGCTAGACAACGAGTAGGGATGACAGAAGAAGAATTGACACCTTTGAGGTGTGGTGCTGGAGAAGAGCACTGAACATCCTTAGATGATCAAGAGAACAAACATATATGTCTTGGGGAAGGTGCAGCTGGAGTGTTCTTTAGAGGCAAGACTGATTAGCCTTTGCCTCACATACTGGGGAAATGTTGCTAGAAGGGGCTATGCCTTGGAGAAGAACATGATGCTGGGAAGGGTGGAGGGTCAGTGAAGGAGAGGAAGACCCTCAGCCTGGTGAATTGACACTGTAACTGCTGCGATGGGTTCTTGTGTGTCAAGAAGTGTAAGGATGGTTCAACATTGAACAGGGTTCAGATCTTTTCTTCATAGGGTCATTGTGAATCATACTCAGCTCAATGGCATCTAACAACAACAACAGTAAAATTTCAACAACGTCACACAATGTTGAGTCAACTAAAAATTTACTTCTTTGGGTTTCTGCTTTAAATATAATAGATGCATTTTAGCAACTAATGTTAAATACTGTCCTAATTAAATTTGAAATACAGTGATATATTGAATTACTTATATATATTCTCATTGTTGTTGTTAGATGTCATCTAGACAACTATGACTCACAGTGTGACCCTTATGGAAAACAGATCTGAACCTTTACCGTATCTTGAGCCATTCTCATGAATGTAAAATTCAATGTAAAATTTTAATAACTTAAGGCTAAAATACTCTACTACTAGTTGTGAAAATGTTCTGCCCAAGCCAATTATGATAGTCACTGTGTCATTCTTTTCCACTACTGTTGGGTCATTCATGCTCACTTCATCAAACCTAACCTTGGTATTTATTTAAAATTCAGTTGATGTAGGCTCAAGGTAATATATTGGTTCTTCTAGACTTTGTTCATTGTCTTCAACTTCAGTTTGAACTTACAAATGATCAGTCAATGATCTATTCCACAATCAGGTACTGTCCTGATTTTGATTGCTGCTATTGGGCTTCTTCAATGATTTTCCACACAGATATTTTTGTTGTCATTGTGTCCCGTCCAGGTGAGTATGACTTATGGCAAAACTATGAACAAGAGATCGGAACCCTGCCCTATCTTGTGTCATCTTCTGTTTCTGACTCAATCAAGCACATTGTAGCAGTCACTGTGCCAAATCATCTGGTTGAGGGTCTTTTTCTCTTTCACCAGCCCTCTAACTTTCCAAATGTGATGTCCCTCTTCAAAGAGCAGCCTCTCCTTGAAACATGCTCGAAGTATGTGAGATAAACCTTTGTCAGCCTTGCCCCCAAGAAGCACTCTGGTCACACCTTCTCCAAGACATATCTGTTCGTCATTTTGAAGTCCATGGGATATTCAGTGTTCTTCTCCAACACCACAGTTCAATGGCATCACTTCTTCTTCTTTCATCCTTATTAATTGTCCAGATCTCAAGAGTATAGCAAGTGATAAGAGCAAAGAGTTTTACTGTAGCAGTACAAAGAGTTAAATGCTCAACTACTAACAAAAAAGTTTGGCAATTCAATGCCATTTAGTGGTACATCATAAAGACACCCTGGAGATCTATATTTGGGAATCCAGAGCAAGAAAAACCCAAACAAGTACTATTCTACTCTATAATATAAGGGGCCATTTTAAGTCAAAACTGACCTACCTGAAACTGAATGTTGACTACTAGAACTTCAAAGTGTCCTTCTTTTTGAATCTCAAACTTACTAAGCAAGATAAATAAAACTTCTTATTTAATGTACCTTACTGATGTGAAAACTAGGCCAGGTGCTAATGGGGAACAGAACATCAGCTACTCATATGTAAGTTCAAACCGAAGTTAAAGAAAATGACACCAAATCTACAAGAACCAAAGTTTTATCTTGAGGTTATCCCTCCTGACTTTAAAGACCATCACAGGAACAAGCTTGAGGCTTTGAATACTAATGAGCAAAGATCATATGAGCTGTGGAAGGACATCAAGAATATCATCTATGAATAATGCAAAAGGTCATTACAAAGATGGAGGAAGAAGACCAAGATTAATGTCTTAAGAGACTCTTAATATTGTACAAGAGCAAAGTGAAGACATCAAGATGTTAAAGAGTTGAACAGAATATTTCAAAGGGCAGTATGGGAAGACAAAAAGTATTATAATGAAATGTGCAAAGAACTGGAGTTGGAAAATCAAAAGAAACTAATATGTTTAGCATTTCTTAAGATGAAGGAACTGAAGAACATATTTAAGCCTTGAGTTGTAATACTTAATGATGCTGTGGGGAGAATATTACATTATCGAAGATGCATCAAAAGTTGGTGGGGAATGTACACAGAGCCACAATACTAAAAATAATCAGCTAACACAGAAAAATCTCTTGAAACAATCTTAATCAATCTTGATCAAGAGGTGATGAAGAAGGAAGTTTAAGCTACTCTGAAGGAACTGGCAAAAAAACAAGGCCCCTGGAATTGATGGCATATCAATTGACATATTTCAACAAACAAATGCTGCTCTGGCTGTGCTCATTAAGTTGTGCCAAAAAATCTGGAGAACAACCAACTTGCCAAATGACTGGAGGAGATTCATATTTATTCCCATTTAAAAAAATGTGATCATATAGTGTGGTAATTATAAGATAATGTCTTTAATATCACATGTAAGCAAGATCCTGCTAAAAAAATTATCCCCAAAATGAAGGGAACAGTACACCAAGAGAGAACTGTGAGATGTGCAGGGTGGGTTTAGAAGAGGTTGTGGTATTAGGGACATTATAGCCAATGTTAGATAGATTTTATTTGAAAGGACAGAATTCCAGAGAAATGTCTGTATTTCATTGACTACGAAAAGACATTTGACGGTGTGGATCACAACAATTGTGGCTTTGAGAATAATGGGAATCCCAGAACATTTGATTTTGTTTATGTGAAACCTATACTTGGACTAGGAGACAGTCATCCGAACAAAACAAGGGAACACTGCATGGTCAAAACTCAGGAAAGGTGTATATCAGGAATTCATCCTGTCTCCATACCTTTTCAATCTATATACAGATCATCTGGGATATTGAGCTTTATGAGGAGCAATGTGGCATCAGGATTGGAAAAGATTCATCAACAGCCTGCATTATGCAGATGACACAACCTTGTTTGCTGAAACTAAGGAAGACATGAGACATTAGCTATAGAAAGTCGAGGATTGCAACTTTCAATATGGATTGAAGCTCAACATCAAGAAAACAAAAATTCTCTCCACTGAGCCAATTGACAGCATTATGACAGATGGAAAAGACTGCTAACACCTCTAGCTTTCTTGGCTTCACAGTCAACACTTTTGGTAAGTGCAGCTAGGAAATCAAAAGACAAATTGCTTTTGGAAAATCTGTTGTCAGGGACCTCTCTAGACAACTGAAGAACAATGATATCAGTCTAGAGACTAAGGTAGGCCTGATTAGGCCATGGTCTTTTCAATAACTTGTTATACAGTAGAGCACTGGACAATACCGAAGAATAACAGAAGAAGAATAGGTGCCTTTGAGTTGTAGTGCTGGAGGAGAGTATTGAGTATACCATGGACTGCCAAGAAAACAAACAGGTCTGTCCTAGAAAGAGTGAAATCAGGCTGCTTTTTGGAGGCAAAGATTTAGACATACTTTGGCCATGTTGCCAGGAGGGACCAGTCCTTGGAGAAGGTCATCATGCTTGGAGGGGTAGAGGGACAGCACAAGAGCAGAAGACCCTGTATGAGATGCATTGACTTGATGACTGAGGTAATGTGTACAGACTGAGGTAATGTGGGCAGAAGTGTCGGAGACAATGAAATTTGCTCACGATAGAGCAGAGTTCATAACAGTTGTATATAGGGTCACTGTGAGTCTCAAGAAACTCAATAGCACATAAGAAAAATGATCTAAAAATAAGACTATACTGTTAAAATGTTGATATGGAGAGAATGGAATTCTTTTTATGTTATATTTTAATATTCTGAAATCTAGAATGAGAACAATTAAGTAAAAAAATAGTAATTTTATTTAAGAATGAGTTATGAGAAAATTTTCCATCAATTAAATTTTTGGTATTAATTGTATCAAGACTCATCACATAAAACACATAAATCTGTAATACCAACTGGGCCATTTTACAGTCAATAAATATACAAAACCAGGCCTTTCTATAAACTTTTACTAATATCATTACTTAAAAAAAGGGGGGGGGGAGTCCATGTTTTAAGTTAAAGTAAGGGCACTCTGGTGTCATAGTGTTGGAGAATGAGTCCTAATTCTGGGGTTGCACATCTCTAACACCTCTAATCTACCTGTGGCAACATGAGAGAACAATGGGTAGTCCCCTACCATTGAGATGTCAGCCCCAGAACTCTAAAGAGAGTCATTATGTGTGGAAATCAATACAAAGACAATGAGTTCCTTTAGTAAATCAGTGGAAACATACCCAGCCAGAAATGTTTATCATCTTTTACTACCTATTTAATGTGACAAGAAATTACCATTGTAACACAATTATTCAGGGCTTTTTAAAAGGAGCAATTCTTTTCAAATAAGTGATGCATTTTCCTCCCAGTTCATTTTCTTTTGCTGCTCCAAACTCTTTTCATGGCATTTTTCATTTCTGCATTTCTCAGAGTGTAGATTAGTGGGTTCAACATAGGGGTGATTACCGTGTAAAACACAGTCAATGACTTATCAATGGGCAATGTGGAAGGAGGTCTCACATACATAAAAATGCAAGGGACAAAAAAAAGGACCACCACAGTGATATGAGAACTGCAAGTGGATAAAGCTTTGCGCCTCCCTTCTTGACTAAGGTTTTTGAGGGAATGTAGAATGACTCCGTAAGAAATAAGTAACAGCATAAAGATGATGACACATATAGCTCCATCATTGGCAACCACGGTAAGACCAATAGCATAGGTGTCAGTACAGGCGAGTTTTAATAAGGGGTACATGTCACAGATGAAGTGGTCAATGACATTGGGACCACAGAAGGGAAGATTGTAAACACAGAGAAGCTGAACTACTGCATGCAGAAACCCACCAACCCAGGCTAACAACAGTAGTAGGACACACACTCTTTGGTTCATGACGGTCATATAATGAAGAGGTTTGCAGATAGCCACATAGCGGTCATAGGCCATGACCACTAGAAGTAAAATCTCAGCACCACCAAATAAATGTCCTATGAAGAGCTGAGTCATGCAAGCTTTGAAAGAAATGGTTTTCTTTTCATAGAGTAAGTCTATAAACATATTTGGAGTTACTGTAGTAGAATACACAGCATCCATAAATGATAGGTAGCCAAGAAAGAAGTACATAGGGGCATCGAGTGCTGGACTGACCACCACAGTCACCACAATGAGGAGGTTGCCGACCATTGTCACCATGTAGATCAGTAAGAACAAAACAAATAATACTCTCTGACCCTGGATACTCTGCGTGAGCCCCAAGAGGATAAACTCAGTCACATTATTCCTTGCTTCCATTTGTTCATCAGTGTGTCTTTAAAATTCAGAATTCAGGACAAATTTACCTGTGAATATAATGAGGACAAATTAATTTCTGAAACATTAAAATTGCCTGTTTGTTCAAGTTTGTCTAAGATGGTAAAAAATACAAGACTAAGTAAAGCATAGTGCCTAACTTAGTGCCCACAGAGACTAATGGATAAATAATTATTATATTAATTTAATGAAGTTCTGACACTTTCTATGTAGAAAAAAATAAAGTCATCCTAATAGATAATAGCACAAACAAAAATAAAGTAAAAATAGGAATTTAAAGTCAAATTATTAAACGTAAAATTACTGAAATTAAGGTGTAAATTACTTAATGTTTACTTTCACGTGAGTAAAAGAAATTATTTTGTATATTCCATTACATTGCTGTTTGTCGTTATGTTCTGTTGAGTCACTTGTGCCTTCATAGTGACCCTATGTACAACAGCTCTGAACCATGTTCTATCCTGAGTCAACCTTATTGTCTCTGACACATCTATCCCCATTACCTCAGTCACAGAGTCAATCTATCTCACCTAGGGTCTTCAACTATTATGCTGTCTCTCCACCCTCCCAAGATGATGTCCCTCCCCAAGGACTAGTCCTTCCTTGCAACATGACAAAAGTATGTCAGATGAAGCTTCAGAATCCTTGCCTCCAAGGAGCAGCCTGGTTTCACCCTCTCTAGGACGAACCTGCTTGTTCTCCTGGCAGTCTATGCTAAATTCAACACTCTTCTCCAGCACCACAGCTCAAAGGCATCAATTCTCTTTCTATCATCCCTACTTATTGTCCAGCCTTCTGATGCATAGTAAGCAATTATGAAGACTTTGGCCTGGATCAGGTGCACCTTAGTCTCTATACTGATGTTGTTGCTTTTCAGTACACTGGAGAGGTCCCTGACAGCAGACTCCCACAATGCAATACTTCTTTTGATTTTCTGGCTGCTGGTACAAAGAGTGTTAATTGTGGAGCTAAGAAAAATAAAGCTTGTAACAATCTCAATCTCTTCACCATTTATCACAATGCTGCCATTTGGCCCAGTGGTGAGAGTCTTTGTTTTCTTGATGCTGAGCTTCAATCCATATTGAAAGCTGCAGTCTTAGAGAGGGTAAAACCAGGCTGCTCCTTGGAGGCAAAGATTCTGAGGCTTCTTCTGACATACTTTGGCCATGTTGCAAGGAGAGACCAGTCCTTGGAGAAAGACATCATTCTTGGAAGTGTGGAGGGACAGCACAAAAGAGGAAGACCCTCAATGAGATGGATTCATTCAGTGACTGGGGTAATGAGGATATGTGTGCCAGAGACAACATAGGTCGACACATCGTTGGTCTTGAGTACTTTAGAGAGGTCCCTAACAGCAGACTTTCCCATCGCAATACATCTTTTAATTTCCTGGCTGCTGGTGCCAAGAGTGTTGATTGTGGAGCCAAGCAAACTAAAGCTGTAAACAATCTCAATCTCTTCACCATCC